AGGGGAAGGATACTGCAAAATCCCCATTCCCACCCCACTTTGGGGCCAGCCAGAGGTGGTAATTGCCGGTTCTCCAAACTACTCAAAATTTCTGCTTCCGGTTCTTCAGAACCTGTCAGAATCTTCTGGATTTCACCCCTGGCTGGGAGTTAACTCCGGTGCACAGTTGTCCATTTATTTGAAAGAAGTTTGTCTGCTTACTAAAAATGTTGGGAATTGTACTTCAGCATATCTGGAAAATGTAGGTTGGGAATGCTGTTCTAAAGTGTCCAACAATGAGCTGACTGTGATTATCCAGGTAATCCTATGTCTCTCCTATAGCCCATGCCCCAGGTCTGAAGCAACAGAAAAGCAATCCAAGATCTGGCCACATGTGAGAACTGGCTTTAAACTTAATGGGTCATAAATACATTTGAAGTAGATGAGAAGTACGCTGTTTCCCCAAAAATAAGATATCCCCTGATAATAAGCCCAATCAGGCTTTTGAGCACATGCGCTAAAGTAAGCTTCCCCCAAAAAATAAGCCCTCCCCAAAAATATTTAAATGCAGAGCTGGAAATCAGATAAGACAGCAAGAGGAGCCCCATCTTGCTCCACACACCCCAAAATAATAAGACCTCCCTGAAAATAAGGCCAAGCGCTTATTTCGGGGTTAAAAAAATTTAAGACAGGGTCTTATTTTTGGGGAAACACGGTAGTTATTATGCAAATAAAATTCTGACCAATGTGAGACTTATGAAAAATTCACAAACAACTAGAATTATAACTGGGTTTTTGTGTCAGCTTGGCTAGGTTCACACAAAATAAGCCATAAAGAAAGAAATGGCATAGAAACTCTGTGGATCAACTTTAATCCTCCTACATTGCTATTATTAATTGTCTATTCAGAAGTTCTGAAGTATTTAAAATCCAGATTACCATTACTCATGTGACTATAAGTGGAGTTTCTTATATTTTGGTTTAGAATAGTTTTCATTTATGGACAGAAGTATAGATATTGGTAGGACCCAATTCCTTTTGAATAATAATCATTGATTGATTGATCGATTGATCAAATTATATAGTCATTTATATAGATCAAATTTATATAGTCATCCATTTCACTGAAGTGACCCTGGGTGGTACACCACAGTTCATTTCAAATAAACATGTATTTTTATTTGAAGATTTGACAACAATCTTATTGCATATCTTTGACAAATTAGTGGACCAGCAAAACGCTGTGGTATAATTTACTTGGACTACAGTAATGCATTTGATAAAGTAGCCACAACCTACTACTTGACAAGATAGAAAAATGTGAGTTAGGCAGCATCATCATCAGATGGACTCGTAGCTGATCAACCACACTCAACATGTAGTCCTTAATGGAACTGCACTTACATGGAGGGAAGTATGCAGTAGGGTACCCAAAGGTTTGTCTTAGGCCCAGTACTCTTCAAAATCTTCATCAATGATTTGGATAAGGGGATAGATGGGGAACTCATCAAATTTGCAGATGACACCCATCTAGCAGGAATAGTCAATACTCTAGAAGATAGGGTCAAGATACAGAAAAATCTTGACAGACTTGAACAGCGAGCCCTATCTAACAAAATGAAATTCAGTGGTGAGAAAAGTAAAGTTCTACATTTAGGCAAGAAAAAACAAGTGCACAGGTACAGAATAGATGGTATCTGTTATAGCAGTACTAGTAGTAACTTCAAGAGAGATCTTGGAGTCCTAGTGGACAATCTCTTAAATGAGCCAGCAGTATTCTGCAGCTGCCAAAAAAATTCAACACATTCCTAGGCTGCATTAACAGAGGGATAGAATCAAGATCACATGAAGTGTTAATACCACTTTATAATGCCTTGATAAGACCACACCTGAAATATTGTATCCAGTTTTGATCGCCACAATATAAAAAAGATGTTGAGATTCTAGAAAGAGTGCAGAGAAGAACAACAAAGATGATTAGGAGACTAGAGGCTAAAACATACAAAGACTGGTTGCAGGAATAGGATGTCTAGTTTTAATGAAAAGAAGGACTAGGGGTGACATGATAACAGTGTTACAATATCTAAGGGACTGCCACAAAGAAGAGGTGATCAATCACCTGAAGGCAGAAAAAGATAAGAAGCAGTGGATGGAGAGACTAATCAAAGATATAACTAACCTTATAATTGAGGAAAAATTTCTTGATAATAAGAAATCAGTGGAATGACTTGCCTCTAGAAATTGTGGGTGCTCCAACACTGGAGGTTTTTAAGAAGAGATTGGATAATTTGTCTGAAATGGCATAGGGTTTCCTAATTGAGCAGAAGATAGGACTAGATTATCATGTTTAAATGTATCTTGGTAGAACTAGACTAGAGCTAACACATGCAGGCTGCAAAAAACCAGAAAACATTAGATGCTGGCAAAGAATAAAAATATTTATATTTCCCACTGCCTTTTAGTGGCAATCTGGATTTTTGTCTCCAAAATTTAATAGGTGTAAACTAGGAAAGATACAAGTTGAGATGAAATGTAAAGGTGCAAACTTCTAAATGTCAAATATATCTATATCATTCTGGAGACTCTGGCAAAAGGAAAAAACTCTAATGCTAAAAAAGAAAAGAAAGAGGAAGGGCTCAGTCCAGCCCCTTTAGCACAGGCAGGAAAGGAAATTTCAAGAGGATTGTTCAGCAAGCTATATAATTAATGACATTCCTTCTCCCCCTCTTCACACAATATTTTATAGTGAAGAATGAAGTTGTGTCTTCCTTTTCATCTTGCTGTCCTGAACAAAAATATTATGAAGTTTCACAGAGCTTTATTCTGGAATTTATTTTTAGTGCCAAAACCAACTCCTGGAGCTGGCCAAGAACTAATTATAAGGATGCTCTTGAAGATATTCAGGGTGGCTTAATGTTACCAGGTAACCAAAATCAACCCAGAAACATCTAAAATTAATACCCAGCACACAGAGAATGTTCAGGTGTGTATTTTATTAATAGGAAACATTTTTCTATTCTCTAAAAGCCTAATTATACCTTTAAAACTTTGCAAAATAACAATAGTCTTGAAAGGTATTCCCAGATTTCAAGCTTCTCTTCCCATAATTTCAAGCAGGAAAGGACTGGGTTTGTGGGTCGTACTAAGTCACAATATAATTGCTTGTTTGTGACTTAACATGATGTATGAACCAGCTTTTATGGGTTGTAAGATGTGATTTATGGCTTAATGCAAAGATATCCAACTTTGGGGACTGATGAATACATTTGGAATTTTACGAGAATGCTGCAGGCAATCTTTTAAGCAAGCTACTTGGGGTGGGGTGGGGGTGTTGAATGATCTCCGTGGGGAGTTTTAATCTGCTACAAAACAAGCCAGATCACCACACAGTTGTGCTACAGTGGGGACACATGAAGAAAATGCTGCCTTCCAACAATTTCAGCATTGCCTTTCCTATCCCCAATTGCAGGATGCTCTAGTTTTCATCAGGAAGTTGGCTTACTTTCTAATGAAGAACTGATTTGAAACCTCTAAACTAGGTTATGGGAACTATTTAGAACCAGAGACATTCATGGACAATATTGGTATCTAGCATTTGCAGCACCTCAGTGTCCCATTAAAACAAACAAGCAAGAATTGAGATGGGGCAAGTCACTAGGCAGGGTAAAATAGGTGTCTGCAGGCAAGAATGGTTAGAGTGCAGTACTGCAGGCTACTTCAGCTGACTTCTAGCTGCAGTTTGGTGGTTCAAACCTCACCGGCTCATGGTCGACTCAGTCTTCCATCCTTCCGAGGTGGGTAAAATGAGGACAATCCCCAGATTGTTGGGGGCAATATGCTGACTCTGCAAACTGCTTAGAGAGGGCTGTAAAAGCACTATGAAGCAGTATATAAGTCTATGTGCTATTGCTATTGCTAATTGGTATTGCTAAATGAATTGTATAAATGTGATTTAATTACTAAACGCTAGCTAAACAGACATCACATTGCTTAACATGCTATCTCAGCCCCAAAATGATCATGTGATAATCCTACTTTCCCTAATTTGATGCCTTTCAGAGATGATGCAATAACTTACATTTCCAAAATTTTCAGCCAATACAGTCAATGGAAGGGACATACTTGATAAAGGCTGATTACAATTGTAGGCAATAATGTCCCTGGGCTCACAAAAAAGAAAAGAAAAAGGAAGCACTACTGAGAGTGCTATTTATCTAATCTATTTTCTCCACTAGTTCTCAGCCTGTGAGACGAGAGACAAACCAAAGTAAATATTTCTTTAGCGCCCATCCTAGGTATCTTTAGATATTGTGGCAATGTGGCATACACATGCTAGAGCTGTCTATCCCCCCCTCCCTCTCTTGGAATGCCTATACAGTAGAGGGAACCTGTGCATCTTTCTCCAAGGAATGTGGAGAAGTTCCAGACACATTTTTGAGCATATTCCAAAACCTCACATTTTGGGGTGTGACTTTCTGCTCAAGCAATGAAATGCAAAAGGGTGAGAGAAATGTGTATTTACTTTCCCTTGTTTCTAGAGAACCATGAAAGAAATACATTTGCTATAAAAGCAGGTAATGGACATCCTCCTAAGTTTGTGAAAAGGAACTTTAGACAGTTCATGAAACATGCAGCACAGTCACTAAGCTAGAACTTCCAAAGTCAAAGGCAGTGTATCTCAGCTTTCTGTTGCTGAAGGGAACAGAGGATGACCTCACCTTGGCGGGTTGGCCGAGAAGCAGAGCACTGGATGAGTTTTGCTTTTTATATCACATGCTGCAATGTAACAAAAGAATTTGTGAGAAACCTATTGGGGAAGTGCCCTCACTCGTAACTTACTAAAGCAACAGGAGAAGCATGGTGGGAGGGCTGCTGCTCCTGTTGCTGTTTTCCATTCCTAGCACAGGTTTCAGTCTTTGCAGCTGCGGCAGGCTCTTTGTGCTTCCTTCCTCAGGGCAAATAAGGTCTTTTCTCGGCTCTGGGGCAAGCTGCCTCAGTTATGTGGCTGCTGTGCTGTTCCTTCTCTGCTTCTCCCTAGAGCAGGGAGGTGTGGCCAGAGAGTGGTATAAAGTCCAAAGAATGAGCTTCTCCCCCCTTCAGTACAGAGTCCCCCTCGCTGGAGATCAGGCAGTCTGCTCTGGCAGCAAGACTATTCTTTGCAGCCTTTGCTTCTTGGCCCTTCACTCTCCAGGACCGTAGCCTGCCTACCATGCCCTCCCATGGGGTGTCTGTTGCCCTGCTGCTTCTAGCCCAGGTGGGATTTTCTGTGAGCCTTGAGGCTATCCAGTGCCCTCCATGCTCTGAGGAGAAGCTGGCACGCTGCAGGACACCCTCTGGATGTGAGGAGCTGGTGCAGGAACCAGGCTGTGGATGTTGTGCCACGTGTGCCTTAACAAAAGGGATGCTCTGTGGGGTATACACATCTCGCTGCGGTTCAGGGCTGCGGTGTTACCCACCACGGGGAATGGAGAAGCCCTTGCACACACTCATGCATGGCCAAGGTGTTTGCATGGACCTGTCTGAAGTCGAGGCGATCCAAGAGAGCATGCAGTCAACAGGTAAGGTGCCATCAAGTTATTGGACCCTTAAGGCTAGAAGACATCATCATCTGTGGCATGCATTGTTTGGGAATGGTTTACAGAGCTATTCCATGGGGGGGAGGAAAGATTGATTTGGAGTACTTTAGATAAGGGGGCAATGATTTGAGCACACAAGATTTAAGTTGCTGGTGCTGCCCACATCTACATCTCCTGACCAATGCCTGGAAGGAAATTGGCATCAAATTTGCATTCAGTATGTTTGGTTTAGACAGGATTAAGTGCCCTGTAATCTCTTTGGGAAATCCAGCAGAACTGTGTGTCATATTTATGGCTAGCTATATGTTAATTTGGCTGATAGTACAATGGCATGTTCTTAATGGTGATCCTAAAATGACTAGTTTCAAAGAGCAAAGGGCTGGCAAAGAACATCATTGGAGGGAGTGAGGATTTTGGTGTAATTATTTACTGATAGTAGGAAGGCAACACTGTTAGTAAGATAGTTATTACTGTTAATGATGTGGCATACAGCAGGGTTGTAACAAGAAGGAAATCTGCAGAGAAATGACCCTGTGTGAGTACACCTTGCCCAATTCCTGGCCAGGAAGGAAGCCAAACACTTGGTGATACGTCAAGGAGGCTGGGGAAATATCTTTCCTACCTGGTTGCTCCAGCTTCTATTGCTGAATAGGATTAAAAGGTGACCCATTTTTAAATAATTACTTCAAGCTAAAAACAACAACAACCCTCTCCCCTCACATTCCCACCCCCACACTTTACTCATATCACCAGAAGGTTTCTATTAGCAAAAAGAGAATTGGAAATTGAGGGAGAATAGGGTTCATATGCTGAATTAAAAAAAAAAAAGCCGCAAAGAGTTCCTCCTGGATAATATGTCCACATTGTGATTTCAGATTTTTGCATTACCTGTCTTGAAGTGGGAAATGATACAAGCAGGAGAAAAAAGAGAGAAAGTGGGAAAGAAATTTGTCCCCTACTTGTTGCACTGGAGAAATGTTTGAAAGCCACATGTTTCTATTTTGCCCCCCTCTCTCTCTCTATATATAGCTAAATACTCAGAGAGATAGTATGAAGATTTTTTAAAATTATCTTCAAAACTTTCTTGGTAGAATTTGGCCCTTAGGAAAAAAATATCGTTAACAGAAGGCTGTTAACAGCATGGCTGATCAAATCATCTCTCCTCTTTGTAAAAGTTATGAAAATGTTTCACTATGGAGCTAAAAATGGTTTCTTCTTTATATGAATCGAATACTTTTGTAACAACGATAATAAAGCGGACCATAATACAATCCTAATGGTCAACTCACTAATCAATAAATTACCTATATGATGATTCATATGATTATCTGGGAAATAAATTCAAATAAATTGAATGAGTTTAATCTTAAAATAGAGGGAGTAAGACTCTATCCTGAATGATATATTGATATATTGAAAGACTGGTTGGGTTTCTTTTCTTCTATATGCATTCTCAGATGTGGAAATACGTATGAAATGGTATATTTATCTTACACATAATGTGCACACGCAAACACACACACACACTCAGTACTGTGATTTTGTATTCCATAGGAATGTGCAATAATTATTGCTCGTTAGGTCTTCTTGCCCTAGAGGAAATTCATATCTTCAGATCACTTAAAAAGCATATAATGGATGGCTAAGTGTTATTTCCAGTTTGAAGTTCTTAATGGCAAAAAGCAGCAGAGGTTTTCAAGCTTACAAAGGCATAATTAATACCCATTAAATGATAATATGTATACATTAGATTGATAGTCATACTTCCCTTTGAATTAAATAAATCCGTAATAATAACTATTTCTTCTCTAGACTTGTCCTAAACCACTAAACCATATCATTGGTTCTGTTGTAGCTACAAACATGCATTAAAAAGAGCAAGGTACACATCTTTTAATTCTTTGTTAATGGCTTGTCAAGGATTTCCTCTCCTTCTTTTTGTATCTATCAGCCGCGTGGAATAGGTGAACATCAACTCCTGTGATGATATTTCACCCATCATTACATTTCCTGGATAGTAGAGGTTTGATATCTGCTGGAATTGCTCCATGTAGTGCTACAATGGAAGACATTGAAGTCTTGTCTGAAAGAATAAATTGTATTTTTTTCATCCACCTTCATATTAAGGATGAAGCTTTTTTCACATTAATTATAGGCTTGTAGTCAGAGCCACTTTTTGTGGACAAGGACAATGCAGAATCCATGATCACAAAGAGCTGGTCAAGTGTGTAGGTTTCTCTCATGCATTTGTTAATCTGATCAGTTCAGATTTAATAATCCCTTATTTAATCATTGTTACTTAGTCATAAGAGTGCCTCTAAAAAATAGAATAAACCTATGTAGAAGTACCTCCATGCAGCTGGAATGGCATGCAAAGAGTTACAAGAGGCTTATTTCATGCCCATCTATTTTATATGACTTTTGAAAACATGTCATTCGTTATTATGAGGGTACGCACTATGGAACCCATGGAATGTTGTTCCAATTGAATTATTATGGAATAAGGAAGGGTTAATTGTGCTTATGCAATAGATCTCTAGACAAACTAACATTAAAATCAGGACTAGAATGATTTATTCAGTGTGCTGTTATGAACAAGGAAGAAGATAGGGTAAAAGATACAGTATATGATCTGAAAAAAATAGCCTTCAATTGACAATCTTGTCATGAGTAGATTCACGTGCTAGGACAAACAATGAACACCCGGTGAAATAACAATAAAAATTGATGTTCCTATAATAGATATTAGTATTTACTAAGTTAATCAGAGAAAGGCATGGCTATTGTATAGGCATGTACTACCAAGGCATGTACTACCAAAAGCCTTGGTAGTACAGGGGTTTAAGGCACCCTGTTATTAAGCTGGTTATTAAGACCAGCTGCCTGCAATTACTGCAGGGTTCGAATCTCGCCAAGGCTCAAGGTTGACTCAGCCTTCCATCCTTTCTAAGGTAAGTGAAATGAGGACCCAGTTTGTGGGGGCAATAAGCTGACTTTGTATAAATATACAAAAGGATGAAGGCTATTGCTGAGCACATTGTAAGCCGCCCTGAGTCTTTGGAGAAGGGCGGCATATAAATCAAATTAAAAAAAAAAATATTGTGTTTTTGTAATCAAGGGGTTTAGAAGATGCAAATTGCTTACATGGCTTGGAAAACCTTACCTTTTAAAATAATTATCAAATGTACAGGTAGCCAAAATGTTCCAAAAAATAAGAAAGGCTGGGAATTCTGAAATCTGCATCGGCGGCTCCTTAATGTAAAGTTTGTAGGAGAGTGTAATAATTCAGATTAAACTCTCAATTTCTGTGAAGATCTAAGATTGCATTCTGTACTGCCCTACGATTGCTGGGCTACAAAAACTTGCAAGCAATGGCAGGACTTTCACTTCTGAAAATATAGGAACCAAGTATCTTCAACCCCATCTTCATCCTTGGAAAAACATATGGACTTTTTTGAGGTAGAAAATAGATGTAGATCTAGGACCAACTTCCTTGTAAACTAAAAATTAAACATTGGCAACACACTTTGAAGAAAAATGTCTACAGCAAAATTAATACAGCATAAAAAAGACAGCCTTGTAACATACCAAATGTAATCACTAGTTGTGATTCTAAATGACGATAGCTAAATTATGCATGTTCAGACCCTAAATTAAGATTAAAAACAATCCAGTTTTCCCAAATACGGGCAAAAGTAGTTGCCATTAATAAAGATTTTGTGGCAGTTGTCCCAGTTTATGATCTTCTAGATATAGCATATCGGGAATGCAGTCCCCAAAATTTCCCATCAGCAAAATGGTAGAAAATATGAGGTGAGGGGTTTGCTGACTCAGGACATCCAGGATTCACTAAGCTAGAGAAGATTTTTTGACACTCAGAGAATGCACACAACTACAATAAACAAGTCCACCAATACAATATCTGAAGTCAACCATTGCATGGAGATCTGCTGTTGTTTTGAGATTTTTGAAAAAACAGAACTATGGTAAGATAAACTTAATACAGAATGTCCATGTAAATGTCCCATCCATGAGGAAGATGGGCAGTTTTTAAATATGATACATTAAACAAACAAACAAACAAACAAACAAACAAACAAATAAAACAAACAAATAAGTAAATGTCACAGGCTTCATATAGTTCAAATAACTGGTATGTTCATGGATCTTTCTGTTCATCCTTTTAACAGAGTTCTTTTAGATTCTCCTCTTCTCGCCCCTGGTGAATTGCACACAATTCTTTAGCTATTTGTTTTAAAGAGAGCAGAATCTCCTTTTTGGAATTTTTGTTTTGAATCATGACATCCTGAAGCATTCTATCCTGGAAGTTGCTACAGGAACTGCTGACTTTCCTGCCTAAATACTGTAGGTTGGGGAGATTAGACATCTGGGAAACAGCTGGATCATCAGAGGAATATCCTTTTTGAAAAAGAAACCTGAGCAAAAGCTTCCTCCGTAATTCGATAAATACAGCTTTCTGAACACTAGGTATGACTAAGATATTTATATTGTATTGCACTTGTAATAGTAATATGCAGACACTTTGTTGTTGTTGCTATGATCATTTGGAAAGTCCATGAATACTCTGCTGTTTAAGGAACAAACATAATGGTATCTATTCTGTTTCACTAAGGTAAGGTTAAATTTACAATTCGGGCTAGTGGAATTAATATATGTCATAAACATAAGCTGTCTATAAAAGGCAAGACCTGGAACTGTGACTAAATTCTGAAAAATGCAGTACAGGACCTGGCAAATAGTTGGTATGTGGATGTTCTACATATCAGATATTAGAAGACTATACTGGAAATTTGGTATTACAAAGTAGAATGCATGTACAGTATGTAATATACGTGGGCTGGTCTACAAGAGCAATTTCTTCCGGCTTTCTGAACATAGTTGAAGTTTATTTTGCTTTTAAAAACAGTGCTAAGTCTATTTGGCTAAGATTACCAGATATCCAGCAAAAGGAGGACATGTCC